GTAGCAATAGTAAACACAGAATAAAAAAAAAAAAAACAGAAGAAGAAGAAGAAAAAGGTGAAATTTGATACCTGTAAGAAATCATAAAGATCATCGCTAACACCATCTTCGTCATGTCGAATGTCTCGGCTGTCTGAACTATAACTAAAACCGGTTCCAGTGGGCTGATCAACATAAATAAGATTTGATGCCTGCAATAAAAAAGGACAGCTTTACCTTTTATTTATTTATTTAGTTTTTATAACGGGTAACATGAATAAGCTTTCAAGTTTCTCCTAAATAAATCAAGGGGCATTTACATGCCTGCCACTTAAATCTTTGATATCAGGCTAAAAATACCACCATCACTATCTTTTAAAAGTGAAATGCACCATTTCATGCATAGATTTATGATACCAAGTTGTTATAAGTGTAAAAATCTAACTTGGGTTTTAGATATGTAAATACATAAGAATTTTGCGGTATGTATGTAAATACGATATAAATAAAACGATACACTAAAAGGAAGATAGAAAGAAAATGTAATTCCCTTGGATTCAAGGTGAGGGCCTTGTTAGGCATTGTTCATATACCAGATAAGAGACAGATGCTGAAGCGGAACGGAGCGAGCTGATTCTTGCTTTTCTTTGCCCTAAAATTCTCAACAGGTCTGATCCCTAAAATATAGTTTTTCTTAGTTTTATGGTTCCTCGGTTACTTCTACATCTAATGGACAGCAAGAAAATTTCTCTGTTCTTTGTAGCCAAGCACAGGGGTAATTTTGTAATTACATATTGTACGTCAGGGCTATATATATATATATATATATATATTGTATTGTAACCCTAAGGAGATCTTGTACTCTTTTTTTGAATTGAAGAAAAAGTTGTTGCTCTGCTTCTAAAGACGTAGACATTTTTGTTGAACCTTTTTAAATCTCTGTGTTTCTTTCTGGATTTGCACCGATTCTTGCTTTTCTTTGCCCTAAAATTCTCAGCAGGTCTGATCCCTAAAATATAGTTTTTCTTAGTTTTATGGTTCCTCGGTTACTTCTACATCTAATGGACAGCAAGAAAATTTCTCTGTTCTTTGTAGCCAAGCTCGATAAAGTAATCAAAGTCTCAATCAAGTATTGCAAAAATTGTGTAATGTTTACATGTATGATATCAATTATAACCCGTTTATTCTTTTTTAAGATTTCTATTCAATCTAGTTTGCAAATTTAAATAGTAGGAAACTCTTCTCTAAGGCAGAGAATCGAGTAGCAGTAAGAAAATGCATTTTTGCAATCAAATACCACCGATTCTTGCTTTTCTTTGCCCTAAAATTCTCAGCAGGTCTGATCCCTAAAATATAGTTTTTTTTAGTTTTATGGTTCCTCGGCTACTTCTACATCTAATGGACAGTAAGAAAATTTCCCTGTTCTTCAAGAAAATTTCTCTGTTCTTTGTAGCCAAGCTCGATAAAGTAATCAAAGTCTCAATCAAGTATTGCAAAAACCATGGAATGTTTACAGGCATGATATCAATTATAACCCGTTTATTCTTTTTTAAGATTTCTATTCAATCTAGTTTGCAAATTTAAATAGTAGGAAACTCTTCTCTAAGGCAAATAAGAATCGAGTAGCAGTAAGATACAATTAGGAAAATGCATTTTTGCAATCAAATACTTATCAATAATATATATAAATATGTAGGCGAGTCAAGTCGAATATGGTCTGTGCTGGTCCCACTTGGTGCGATAAAGGCTTGTTGTTGTTATTGTTGTTCATACATTCATGTGGATGCAACACGTATTCAATTGTTGAAAATAAAATAAGAAGATGGTTAAAAATTTAGCTGTTTTAATCAAATAATATCATGATAATATACAAACAACAACAACAAAGCCTTAATCCCACTATCATGATAATATAATAGATTAAATTTAAAATTTCAAAATCTATCCAATTAGTTGTAGAACCTGAATAAAAAAAGTAAAATTTTTGATGTGCCATAGTATTTCCCATACAATTGTAGCATATAAGTGTCAGCAGGGATATAGAATTCACAGAAAACGCATAAATCATAAGTTAAGTCTTTTGGATTCATTTTAACGATATAGGATATTGCCCCATAACAATAGGAAGCAAATAAAAGCAAGGAATAAAAACTTTTACATATCTCGTAATTTTTTTTAATTAACATTATTCAATATCGATTTTATCTTTGTGCTACTACAGATTTACACCGAACGAATTAGTGATCAACTAACAAAATAGTTCATATAAATATGTATTTACATATTTAATAACTGAACTTCACTTTTTGCACCATCCATAGTTTTCATATCACAAAAAAGATCATGCTTTTAACTTCTAAGAAATTTAATAAAGCTCTCATCGATCACACACGTGTAAAAATGAAATTTAGGTGTTAGACCCCATAACAATAGGAAGCAAATAAAAGCAAGGAATAAAAACTTTTACATATCTCGTAATTTTTTTTAATTAACATTATTCAATATCGATTTTATCTTTGTGCTACTACAGATTTACACCGAACGAATTAGTGATCAACTAACAAAATAGTTCATATAAATATGTATTTACATATTTAATAACTGAACTTCACTTTTTGCACCATCCATAATTTTCATATCACAAAAAAGATCATTCTTTTAACTTCTAAGAAATTTAATAAAGCTCTCATCGATCACACACGGGCAAAAATGAAATTTAGGTGTTAGATGTGAACATACACAAAAACTCAGCAGCATGTATGTAAATCTTCCAAAAAATGGGGCATTTACATACCACCCAATTCTGTTGTATTTATATATCTACTACCACTCAAATCTTTCATATGACATAAAAAATATCAATGTAAAAATTAAAATTTAGGTGTTCCATATGTAAATACATAAAAAATCAGTGGTCTGTATGTAAATCTGCCCCAATAGCAAAAAAAGGGTACCTGATCCCACCCAAATTCATTCCACACCAACGACAAGTTGTTGGCTACAGTGAAGGGTCCATTCTCATAGAAAACCGCCAATTCACTGCTGCAACCGGGTCCGCCAGTCAGCCAAATAACGACTGGATCCTTCTTGCTCTCCCTCGACTCGAAGAAAAAGTAGAACATCCTGCACGAACAAAATTACCAATCAGATTCGCCTAAAACATACATACATTAACTCAATTAGGTTCTCAATCCTTCCCTGGCGTCATAGGCGTGGGGAAGACGGTAGTAGCCGGCACGATGCCCGAGATCATCGACGGAGACCTCGCCGGCGAATGAGGTCAGGCGAAGCGGCTTCCCAACGATCGGTCCCAGCCGATCATCGGCAACAGCAGCGGGGGGTTGTGGAGAAGGATCACGAGGAAGGAGATTGAGAGCGCGGATGAACTTCTCAGCAGCGGCCGCAGGAAAGCTGGCGTCTATGGGGAGGGTGAGGTCCTCGTCGCCAATGTCGCCGGCGGCGAAGGACGCGGAGGCGAGGATGATGGTGAAAAGGAACAGAGAGAGGTTTGGCATTGCGAGGGATAAGCGAGGGCGAGGTGATGGGTGGTAATATTTATAGAGGAGGGAAGAGGACGGGATGGCAGAGGAGGGTTTGCCGGAGAAGGATAGTTGAGGGAGTGACCAAAAGGGTTGCGTATAAGAAAGATGTTATGTAGGGTTTTGGCTAAAAGAGTTTTCTTGCGTTTTATGAATGACTTCGAGATCTGCACTCCATTTCGTCGTCTCTTCCAAGGCTTCATGGCACCGTTGCTCCCAGAGAATTCTTTCCACGGCTAGTTTATGAGCTCAAATGCCGGAAAGAATCACGGATCCAGTGCTTCGTCCGACTTTAGTAAAATATTATCATTGAGAAAATAAGACACAAATAATTTCACTTGTGGCCGTGTTATTGACATTATTCGCAGGTGTTATTACAGTATTGTTCATGTTATTGAAATTATTTTGTTGGAGCAATTGCGATGTTATCGCAGTATTATTTGCGTGGTCCTATAGTCGGTGTTATTGGCGTTGATCATCAGTGTTATTGCGACACTATTACGGCGTTATTTAAGTTGTTTTGTGAGATTATTAAAGTGGAACCGCATGGCGGTGTTGTTAACATTGTTCATCGGTTGTATTATGATGTTATCGCAGTGTTATTTGCGTGGTCCTATAGTTGGTGTTATTGACATTGATCACCAGTGTTATTGTGATACTATTACAATGTTATTCAAGTTGTTTGGCGTTGTTATTAGCATTGTTCATCGGTTGTATTATGATGTTATTGTAGTTATTTTGCAATAACACCACAATAAGTTTCTTTTCGTCTTTTTTAGATGGGCACAATCAGATAAACATAGCAATAGTTTATTAGAGTTTGGATGCAGAGCTATGTCCGGACTTTACATGTAAGATTTTTTCCAAAAGCCGGGCTTATCTCGCCACAGGTTTGCACTCGAGCTCGAGTTGAGCTCATTTATTAAATAAGTTTGACTTCAAGCTAGTCCCAACTTTGCACATTGGCTTGCAAGCCAGCTTGATTAACTAACCTATTTTTTAATTTGAGCGTACGAGTCGGTTGCTACTACTATGAGGAGCTCGAGCTCGAGCTCACAATTTGGCAAACATCGGAGCTCGGTTTGACATAGCCCAAGCTTGACTTGACTTGTTTATACCCCCTTAACCACCCAATTTCTATATATTTACCCAATTTCTATATATAATTTGTAAGCTTTATCTTTTATATTCACACCACAAGATATAAAATAGAACATCATTCTAACTTATAAATAAATAAAGTATACATTTTATACATAAATAAAGTGACATGTATTTAACATTTGAAGTTTAGATAATGAATACGTAAATATATAAAATTTGAGTGGTATGCATGTAATTTTCCTTATTTTTTTATAATTCTAATTAAATTTGTTGAACGTCCAAAAAAAGTAGTGGAAAAAAATTTGGCTTTAAGTGCCGAGTAACAACGAGAAGCACCAACATTAAAGGGAGAATGTGTAGCTTATAATTTTAATTTGTAGTGCTTAGTGGTACAATATAAATCTAATTTAATTTAATGACTAGCGTGCAAGTCTTACAAAGAATTGGTAGATGATATTCTCTTCAACTTAAAATCAAAGTTTAAAATATATTTAATTATTAGCTTTTAGCTTAATTACTATTAAAGGTCAACTTCAAAATAAAAATAAAGTAGCAAAAGTAGAAAGGTTGTTTTCTTTCTTATTTTTTAGGAGAGAGTTGAGCCTTACTGACAATTAAGTTAGTGTACAACAAAATATGCTTGATCAAATCTTCCATAGATCTGACGATTCAGAGAAAGGAAAAATGGCTTCACGAATGAAATACATGACCACCTAAAAGCAGTACAATCACACATGTATGAATGGATGCAGTTTGACTAGAGGTTGATCGACCAAGGACTAGCCTACCAGAGGGGAAATATTTGCGTACATAAGACGTACGCAGCGCTGCGTACGTCCATGGGTTATTCAGGGGGTTATATCGGGGTTATACCCCCCTATAACCTCCCTATAACCTCCCTGTAACCTACCTGTAACCTACAAATGAGTTCCGCACTTCTGTAGTTTCATGAGAACAAATAAGTTACATGAATGTTACAAGGAAGTTACACGGAGGTTACATGGGGGTATAACCCGGATATAAACCCCCTGTACCCCCTGAATAACGCCTAGACGTACCCAGCGCTGCGTACGTCTTATGTACGCAGCTATTTTCCCTACCGGAGACAAGTCAATAAGAGGACAAATGACAGAGAGTTGATTGATCTAAGGCTAAAAATGATTAAGCAATTATCTCAATTCTCAAGTATTGATGTAACCATGACATGGGCAAAAGTGAAAGTTGTATAGATTACGAATATATAAGTTAGTTGAAAATGAGTATGTCACTTTTATAAATAGAGGGTATTGAATGTAATTATGGTGGTTGAAATCCAATACCAACTACCCCATTTTCAAGATCTCCTAAAATTACAAACATACCTTCATTTACTTTCAAGTCACAAAAGTGAATCTTACAAACTTAAAACATGTCAAATCTGATTTAAAATCATTAATTAAAGTTCAAACAACATTTGAATATTAAAATTCAAGTGTTTACAAGTGAATTTGAGATTATTTGTGACTTTTTCAAAAAATTATAAATATACCTTTTTCATTATTAAACCCAACAAATAAAATCATTAAAATTGAAAATTTCAACCCACTGATCCAAATCACTCATCAATAGAAAGTAAAATGTAACAAGCAACTTTCAGTTTGAAATGAAGTGGTATATGTCAAAAATGATAATTTTACAAATATACCCTTACAAACTTAAATCCTTATAATTTTTTCAAAAAAAAAAATCCCAAATTGAATGAAATCTTCACCCATAGATTAAGCAAACAAAAAGAAATTACAAGTCATTCAAAAATATTTTCTATTAAATTATTTGTAAAAAATTTCAAATAATAAACTTGTTTGATAAAAAACAATAATTCATAAAAAATTTATAAGAATTTAAATTGAATTAAAAATTTTAGGAATTGTATATAATCTAATTCCAAGCAAATACGTAAAATTTCGAGGGTTTTGGAGGTCATTTAGGTTCATAATGTGAGGTAAATTGGAATACATCCTACCATATTAGGATGTATTGTTGAGGTAGATTAAACCAATATAAAATATTTATATTATTACTTCTCACTGTGATGACTTTGATTTTTGTATCACATTTTATCTTTTTTATTTAATATTAGGATACAAATATCTTGACCCTTTGCAATATTTGTTACATTCTACCATATTAGAATGGAAATACATTATTTTTTAATATGTTACTAATCTAAAATGTTAATATGCTAAGTCCATACTATGATGTGTATGTTTAAGGAAGAAAATTTGGTTACTTGTTACCTTATTGAGATGGCAATATATTATTTTTAAAATTTTCAAAGACTAAAATGTTAATATGCCAATTCATATGACATTTATTATTGCATACTATGATGTGTGTATAATACTTATTCTATAAGATGTTCATCTGAACTGTAAAAAGAATATATAAATCTTCTCCACAAGCCTTTGATTCACTTAAAAATCATCAATTATCTCCGAAATCCAAAGGATCTTGGATTTGATCTTTTAATACATACAATTATAGAGCATACAAGGGCTATATAACACATAATAAGGGTGGCATTAAACATTATTATGTTCATTTCTCTGTATATCACTCATTCACTCCTGGAGACGACTCAATTTAGATGTGTTGGTTAAAATTACCAAAGAACGTTTACGACCTCACTTTATCGAGCCGCGCCCTTATCTCCTCTAGCTCTCCCTCATCATCTACACCTTCAGCTATTGCCTCAGACTATCAAGAAAATAAAATAATAATAATAATAATAATAAAATTTAAACTAGTAAATCGAAGATTTCATAATAGGTCACCAATGCTTACCTGTTGCTCTGCTTTCTGGCTGGAAGCAGGTTGCTTTATCCTTCCCTTCCTAACTGCATCTGGAAGCTGGGAAGCTGTCTCACCAGCTATAGCAGTAAGCACCTTCTCAATCTCCTCTTCAGTTTCCTCTTCTATGTCTTCAGAGTCCAGAGCTGAATCAACAGCATCATTCACCATTTCCTCAATGACACCAGCCTGGAAATTTGCAAGAGAGACAGAAATATGATGGTCATTATTTGATTAAGAAAAAAATTAAGTTAAAAGCCCAAGGTTGAAATAGTCATCATCAACATTCTTCCTTTGTGCAACATATGTTTAGGGAAATTTATGGAAATTGAATGGAAGGTAATTAACATCCCTGTGAATAAGGTTTTAATCATATAAAATTGGGACACGGTCCTTAGTAGGACCAACCAAAACACTAATTTTTATAAGCCAAGCAAAATAGGAAGATGGAAAGGTGCTTAAATTTGAATGTTTTAGCTGATTCTGTAGTGAAGTTGGTCCTTGCTGAAGGAAACATTGACAACCAAAGCCTAGGCGGCTTGGTCTTAGCTACCCTTAGGTTTAGATCATAAAGAGAAAAACACTAGAGTTGATTTCATGAAAAGTTTGATGTCAACTAAAATAGCTTACAAAATACTTGTCTTTTCTTTTTAAGAAACCTGTAGAAATGAAATAAATGCGTTACGCAAAAGGGTAAGAACCAAAAAGATACTTTTATTTAGGATCAAAACGAACAGGCAGGTCAACTGGTTCATCAAAAGTATCTCAGCGAAATCATTGGTCTTGAAAATGAAGGTATGGAAATTGACATGGTCTAAAGTTGCGGTGTCAAGAATTGACCGGGCAAGCCAAATCTACTTGAAAATTCCATGTTCAGATTGGACCGAATAACTTTTGGATCCAGTTCAAGTTAGGAATAGGTTAAGAATCCTAACCCGTTTAATTTTTTGGTCGGATATGAGTTGACTTGCCAACCCAAAAAAGACCCACCGACTCAAAATTGACCCGTTAACTTAAAATGAACACAAAATTCGCCCGCCAACCAGAAATTGACCCGAGTTTAGCTTGAATAGTTATTATACCTTATGTTAAACAAGTTATACAAGTCTAGATCGTAAAGCGGATTGGGTTAATGTTGGACTATCTAACACGTTTATTATTCAGGTCAGGTTCAGGTTGGGTCAATTTCGGGCCACAACCACACCCAATTTGACACTCCTAGTCTAAAGGCAAGCAAAGCCTGGCCCAAAATTGACCCACACCACCCACACCCAATTTGACATTCCTAGTCTAAAGGCAAGCGTAACCGTACACATGATTGCCCGAAATTGACCCACAAACCCAATTTTGACACCTCTTAGTCTAAAGGCAAGTGAAGCTGTAGACATGACCATAGAAAATGCAAGTTAAAATGCTTCAGTTACCCTAATCAAAGGTCCACTACTTTCAGTTTCTAGTGCAATGAATCCTTCTTCCCCATTAACGAACATGTTCCTAAAAACATAAAGCAATGATAGGAATATTTATCACTCATCCGGGCTGAGCTCGCAGAAACTGTTTGGATTAAATTCTGAAATTAAGGGTCTATTCGGGTGGCGGCAAGGCTGCGGCCTGCCGCGATATTCGTTGAACGCGGAAAGCCAAAACAGAGCCGCGTACCAGCTTCCTGTTCTGCCTTTTTACCTCTGTGCCCTCTTTGAGTTACCCGTCCGATACAAATCTGGCCACAGGGAAAAAAGAATCGCAGTGGTAAGAAGTGTTTTTCTCCCCTCTCCTCCTCTTCTCCGAAGATTCTCCTCCTATCACGCAGCCCAAATTCTCGTCCTCGAAGCAGCGGTAAGAAGCGTTTTTCTTTTGGATGCCCTAATCTAATCAAATA